CTCCATACATTTCCCAAGGCACTGATAAGGAGAATTTGTTTCATAATCAAGAGTATCTTTAAGCTGATGATCATTTTCTTGGTTCTCCCGACCTTAATGTGTGATTCAGAGGTGATATTGTAAGGAGAAATTAGATGCTAGTCACTCTTAGGGGAAAAGGGTTAACTCAAATAGCTGAATAAACTCACCTCTCCAGCATAGGAAAGAAGAGGAGAAATTTCACAGACTATAGATGTGGCCCTAGAACCAGAAAGAAAAGGAAAACTTATTCAATCTGAATTTAAAAATGGAAATTACTGCATTTTTGTGTTCTCAAAAAATTCCTTCTGCTTATTTGTTTGGTAAGCATATCTGATATTAATTTGGAATTTAACAATCCACTCTGGGCACTCAGTCTTTGCTGCCATCCTTCAATACTCCTGAGTGGAGAGAGCATTATGAGAGTTGTGTATCATGTCCAAAAACACAACACAATGAGCCGGTCAGGGCTCCAATCTGAAATTCACAACTTCTAGTCAAGCAAGCTTACCATTAGGCCACAGTCTAATTAAGAGCCTGGTACAGGCTGAACATTTTACAACTGTTTACAAAAGAGCTCTCAAGGACTTACCCATTGGCATCTTTGAACTTGGCACCAGCTTTGGTTAGATATCTATGATGCAAATTTGACAAGTCCCTGAGTGCTGTTTCTGGACTCTCCATTGGTGAGCCCTTGGCATTTTTTAGAGGAGAAAATTCATCTTCTCTGGCAACTTCCAGAAAGGCAAGTTTCCTATAATTGAAATAAATCAAAAGATGAAAATGCTGTGAATAAGACAATTGCACATCAGTTAACAACTACAATTGGTTGAATAATGATATTTAACAGCTATCTAATGACAAATTATTACCCCATTCACTTCCAAGATCTCCAAGGTATTAGTATTAATCTACTGGAGAAGTGTTCTATCAAAAATGTTGCAATTCTTGCAGTTTAACTGTAAATATGAAATGAATTACCATCAATGATGATTCTTCCACAAGGAATTTACACGCAGCAGTTCATGAAAAATTAATACATGATTTATATAAACTTTTTTCCTTCATCAATTTACCATGATAATAATATAATTGTAATTTGAAGGAAATCTTACTCTGTGAACTCAAAGACATCAAAGACAAACTTCTCCAGTTTAATTCCATTTGGTTCCACTGGTATATGCCTGAAAATGAAAGTACAGAATTTAATGAAATGAAGCTCTTCTCAAAATAACCCATTTTGTCTTCAAGCTACTCATGTATGTCTCATATCTCAAGTTGAAATTCAAAAATTAATCATGATACTTCTGATAATTTACTTCAAAATAATCTCTTCTTTCAAAGGACAGATATCAACATTCACTTTTATTTAGTTGCAACATTCTATTAATAAACTCAACAGAACACCGCAAAATTTGTTCTGTATTTGGAAAAATGGCATAATTGTTGGTAACAAAACTGACCAGATAAGTGAAAAATCCTTCTTACCTTTTTCCACTTTTATCAACAAATGGAATCTTCTTCTTAGCTATGTGAAACTTGAGTGATGGTTCATGCTCCCTGAGGTAAAAAATATGAAAAACCAATTAGGGGACTTCTCATTATGTGCAAAGTTGTCAACCATGGGAAGGCTGGACTGTAAAATATTTGGCTCTATGTCGCAGCACTGTGTTATGACCAAGAGTAACAAATTTTCCCATTCCGCTCACCCCTTGGCATGCAACCCTCATAAACTGTTTTTTTGTTTTTTGTTTTTTTTATGTGTTTCATTTGAAGTCCACATGGGGCTTTATATATCATAAGATAAGCTTCTTTCTACTGCCTTTTTTCGGAATTTCAGAACCTGCATCTTTCACTCAGTCTAAAGCAATGATTCATTATTTGACTCAATGATTACAAGAAATGATGATGTGACAACACTAACAAAACAAAATTTCTTAAATTTGGTTGAACATTTAGAACAAATGGAAACATTGACCAGATAATGTTCATCTCATTCTACAGAAGTGGCAAAAAAATGACAACAACAACAACAACACCATAACAACAACAACATCATAAGACATTTCTAAATTACAAAGTGCACAAGCAGGCAAATAAATTCTCATTGCTAATTACAAACTGACTCAAATGAAGATTCAATTTTCAATTACAAATCTGTTAAAAGATTTATGCATTTATGCATCTATTAGAGGGCATAGTAAATTTTTGTGAGTGTAGTACCTTCAGTTGAACTCCACTCATGCTGCCACTTACGTTACAATTTTCTCCAAGAAGTCCACAGTGAAGAAATGATTGCAAATGTTTCCATCTAGAAATAAGATCCTATCATTGTGGACTGGGTCTTTCATCTCTGCAATTTCTTTTGATATCTCACTGTATTCAGCGACCTGATCAAAAATTCTTATTCAATACTAAAAAAAATCTCAATAACAGGCATTACTCTATTACTTGTTTTGATTTATAGATCAGGCCTTGGGAAATTAAAGCCATGACAAGGAATCATACAACCTTGAGAAATTTGTGTCTTCCCAAGGCAAATTATACATAATTCATTTCAATTTGTAAAATAATATAATTTTTTTAGTGTTTATGATTTGACCTAAAAATTATTTCTGCTTCTTCTTCTTCTTCTTTTTCAGTAATCTTTCAATCATTTCAGGGCCTCTGCCATTGGAACATGTATGATTGCACATGGCTGGCCTCAATGTCTGATCACACCACTAGTCTAGAAGAAATCACAATCTGCAATATCCTTCCAAGTTTGGTTTAGTTTGGTTTGGTAGATAAAATTATAGTTGGGAAATTGATGATGAAAAAAGTTCTTGACAAAAAATTTGGAAATTTGAACAATAACTGATTTGTTCCAAAACGATTTGGGATGAAAATGAGATTCCCATGTCAAGTTGAAACTAAAAACAACTGACCTGATGTTTGTCCTCACATTTCACAACAACTCCAACTGTCTCATCTGGAAGTGTTTTATCAACAAGCTGCAATCAATAAATAAATAAATAACAATCTGTCAAGGAAATCAATTCAGACAAAATTCTATTATTTAATAATTCATTTGACAATTCATTTTAATGCCTATTTTTACTGAAATGCATTTTTTAGTAATGTATTTTGTTTACCAAAACTTTATCAAGTTATTTCACATATCTGTTAGCTTTTTAATAGCAACACTGCCAGTCTGATCATAGGTAAGAATAATTTAAAAGGTATAAATAGTCTGCTTTAACAGGGAGACTGTAATTGAAACTAGATGCATATCTGCATGTACTCAGGCACTTGTAAGGGTGTATCATAGGTGGAGCCCTCAAGAAGAAAATTGCAAGAGTAAAATTGCATAACTAATAAAAGTGGTATACACTTCCAAAGCTTATTTCCACATGCTCTTCTATCCATCCCACTGATCCTTTAAGGAATCTTTGTGTTTTAAAAACAACCCTCAATTTTTAAACTTGAACTTTTTGAGGTATCTCGCAAGCTTTTGGAAAGTGTTTGGAAATCTTTGGATGTCTTCAGTGCATTCAGTGACAATCAAGTTCTACAAGGCTTTGGCCCAAAGCAAGTTGGCAAGTACATGAAAAATTTCTTTACCAAGGTATAAAGAGCACCAACCTTTGCACCACATTCTGCTGAATTGTCAACACAAAATCCAACAAACACAGGATCTGCCATCTTAACAAGGATGTTGTCGACACAGTTCACATGAACATACTCTATTCCTCGCTTTCTCATTGTACCAATGGTAACATGGTCATCTTCACCATCATTGATAAGGGCAGTGTACAAACCACCATTTCCTCCAGGGGCTCTGGCAACTTTACCACATTGATCAAGAATAATTTTTCCATCCATTGTTAGACAAGGAATGGTGTGCTGCTCAAAGAATAGCACATTGTTTATTTGCAGCCCAAAGTAATTGTGTTTTTCAATAAACTTTTTCGTTTCTTCCATGGTGTGTTCACTTGTCATGATGTACCTATGGTGGTGTGACAATATGCTGTCAATAAATTTCAAAGTTCTTCAATTTACAAGACTTACAAATAAGATTTCCGTGATAAGTGAATGCTCTTTGACTTAGTGGGATAGCAATCATTTAAAGTAAATAGACTTTTAACAAAGACCAATAAACAGTGGCAGCCATGATGCTGTTTTCTGGTTTTTTTTTTTTCCTCCTTTGCTGACCTTTGCTTGACCTTTGATGTCTTTGATCTGCGTGGTAGATCCATACAGTCGTAACACAATAGGCATAAGTTAAAGTCGTTATCATTTGCACCAGGACTATGACCATCACTGTTATTTTTGTTGACTGCCTGGTCGTGGAAGTGCGTCAGATTGTATCCAGAAAGACCAGAAAGTATCTGAATCTATTGAATTTGAGATCTGAAAGAAGGGCAACCCAAACAGCTGAAATGGTAAAAGACATCAGAGTTTTGGAGACATTTTATGCTGCCTGAGAAGATGGTAATATAAGCAATGAGCCAGTATACAAGGACAAATTTCATATAACAGTTAGTGGAACACAACATTTTTCCAAGGTTGTGATAAAGACCTAAACAAATTCAAAAACCACCTTATATCACATTTATTACTGACATAAAAACAGTGCCTTACAGAAGGGGATTGGGCAAAGGTTTGACATAAATATCACCTGTACATTAAAGAGTAGTAAAGGTAGCATAGACAAGACTCTTGGAGCCACGAGTGGCTGCAAATTGAAAGATAGCCAAATTAGCAAGTTCACAATAGTTCTTGCAAGATAACTAATGAGCCATATATGAGTTCAGACTATGAAAACATTGTCAAAACTATGTCTACTGACTTGTTAAACAACATACTATGATGACTATAATGCCCAAATAAACACCTCAGATGGTGAATTAAAAAAATAAAAAATCTTCATGAACAGAACTTTGAAGGTGAGGCAAACAACAAGCTATTAGATGAAGAGGATACTCAACGAAGCAACTTGAATAGTACAAACATAAGCTTAACTCTTGTGTTAAATATCTTAATTCTTTAATTTATTTTTACTGTGTTCAATACTTGTAAAGTACGATTTGATATTGTGATATGAAGCACGAGTAAACACTCTCAGAGCAGTAAGTTGTCTTTATTTGTCTAACAAAAAGCAAAATGACAAGTGAAACACAATTTATTCCAGGATAAAAAACGTTGGGTGCAACATAATTGATAATAATACATCCAATAGGTTGAAATCTTATTAATAGTATTAATTCAGTGTGCTTAGTACTTTTTACGTGACATGCAATTGGTTACAAAAATTCTCTGTGATGCGTGATTTAATAGAAAAATTCTCCATGATGTGTGATTTGCCACCCTCAATACCAACTTACTGATAACAACAACAAAATTGACACCTTGAGCACTTGGTGAATCACATAACAACTTCATTTACATTGATCTCAATATTGTGTACCCAAAATCACATTTCTAGAAATTTTAAATGTTATTTGAATGCTGCAAATAAATTGCTCATTTTAATTGAAAAGAGGCGGTATTCACCTACCATTGGGCTGACAGGAAATTAGTTTAAAAAATAAGTGAAAATGATTAAAGGCCTGTCTACATGGAGGTGGGGGACATCAGGTAGGCCAGGTAACCCACCTAGCCGTGGTAAAAAATAAAACATGTTTACATACAATGTTATAACCCCCGGGTGGTGGGGTAAGGTTTCTTGAGGTTGTTGTTGTGCTTGCAATTAAGGAGTTTGAGCAGAGGCATCCCTAGCTCACATCTCGAGAAAGATGAAAGATTAATTTTTGAACACTTATGTATTTATTCATGAAAGCATCATGTGTTGTGTTACGCGGTGTTAGGTTACACAAGGAACAGTTGACTCAATGGAATAGTTTGGGAAATGAAATATGGTCGATTTACAATGTTAAATATTCCAAAATGTGAACATTTTACACTCCTTGTGTGTCTGTTGTGGTTTCTGGTGAATTCTGCCATGAGACGGCTAGGAAATGTACAAAGTTTTAAGACATACATGTTTTGCTTTTGAGCTTTTTGCCATGAACGCAACCCCAGCTAGGTAGGTTACCCCACCTTGAGACGTTTACATGGCAAATTGTCACCCTGACTGACAGGGTTACCCTACCTGGCAGACCAGGCAACCCACCTAGGCGGGTCACCCTACCTATCATGTAAACGTGATCAAGATAAAATAAGAAATTATGTGGACAGGTGGGTTACCCCACCAAGGCGGGTTACCTCACCTACCTGAGGTCCCCCACTTCCATGCAAACAGGCCCTAACAGACAATGAACCATGCAATCATACAAAGGCATTAAAGTTGTGACTTACCAAGGAACTGTCGATTTCCTTCCGGTGAGTTCATAAGCCAGTTCTTGCACTTTTAAGATTTTCTCGGCCTGAAGTTGATACAATGTCTTCTGTGATGGTA